AACAATCCGCCCACCTCGGCCTCCCAGAGTGCTAGGATTACAGGCGTGAGCCACCGCGCCCAGCCATTTGTTCTACTTTTTTGATAAATTTCTTCATGTAAATTCTCAGATGTGGCATTTATGGGATAAAAATATAGGATTTTTTTTCTTTTTTAAACACCTTAAGTTTATTTATTAATTAGTACAGTAGCATATATCTAATTCTTAGAATATGGAGCTGGAGGGTGCTCTTTCATACTGGAAAATCAACTACGTATTATCATATAGTTCAAATGTATATACTGAAGAGCTCTATAAAATTTTAATCAAAATCCACTTTCAGTTTGTTAAATAATCTCTTGGGAGAACCACTGAGAGAGGTGATGCCCTCATGATTAAATCATGAATCTCTTCAGAATTAATTCTGAAGGAATTTGATTATGTTGATCCAAGTAATACAGTGGTGGCAGATTGAGTAAAGGCAAAGTTTTACTTGTAGTTTCTCCAAATGCTGTCTCACTTGATTTAAGAGGGCTTGGTAATACCCAAGAATTTTCTTCTAGAGAATTTCTGCCATGGAGTTGTGTTCCTGAAAGTTTGTACCATCATTAGGAATGGATCGCTCATTATCTGTCCATGATTGGAGGATTTGCTTTCTCTGATAAAACCTTTACATCTTCTGGTAAAGGGGAAGATGTAGTTTAAGAAAGAGCTTTGCTATCAGCTTTGGTGGAAAAAAAAAAAAAAAGCTTTGCTATTTGGTGTGAGTGGGAGATGTTTTCTGTATATTGCAGTAAAATTCACCAAGTGCAGTTTTGTGCTATCTTTCCCAAGGTCTTCAGTGCATTCTTCTGGAGGGCAGGCTTTCTTGACTGCAGTTGGGGTTTTCAGTTTTCTTAGTAGTTCAGCCTGTACTTGAGTCACCAGATGTAAATTAGACATTTTTCTCTTCAGTTCCTAGTATGCATGCTGTATATTATCACTTGAAATGCTTAGTCTTTGGAAATCTCTGCTCTTCAGATTGTCTTCCTGATATGGATCTGTTTTCTTGGCATTTTGTAGTTCTCTTTTGAAAATGCTATATTCTGTCCTCATTAGTTCCAGGTCTTGTTCCAAACCATGGATCTTCAGGTCACAGCCCAACTTTTCCACCTCCCAGTTTGATGAAGATGTATTTAATCCCTCATCACCTGCTGAATTTCAGCTCTGTTCTTAGCGGGAGTTCTACTGCCTTTGATTGTAGCTGTTCATTCAGTACTTTCAAAGATTCAGAGTTGTCTTTATTCATTTTATCCAATTTGCTTTTCAAATTATCTCTATCAATGCAAATTTCTCAATATACATGATAGGCTTTATTTACTTGTTCTTATCTCACAGAACTTGTTTCTTCATCTAATCAAGCTCCTATAAATAAGCTTTTCTTCCAAAAATTTTATTTTTTTTCTTTAACAAAGAGTTCTCTCTCTGAATCCTTATGTCATTTTTTGATGTCTTCATATGCAGTGACAAAGGCAAAATGGGAAGCAACAGACTCATCTCCTAAATATCTTGAAATTGAAGTCACTGTATCTCTCCTATGGGCTTTTTCATGATTCAGAATGTAGATAACTTCTACCATGATAGCCTGAAGCCAAACTACATGGGGCCATGCCTGAATTTCCAAACCCTAGTGTTTGTAGACAGACCGAAAGCAAACCAGGTCTCCAGGGGTCACCAGGGGCTTCCGGTTTCTTGAAGACACTGCAGTTTCTCCAGTGAAGGTGGCAGCTCCAGGAATTTCCATTTCTTCTGCCTTGGCTCAAGATATGAGTATTTTAAAAGGCCATGATGAAGACAATGGCTTCTCCACCCAAGCAGGTTGTAAATGAATTTTCAAATAGAACCTGGCATCATCCCGAAGGAAAAATAAATGATTTAATTCTCTTGAATGAAAACAAAAAAAAGGCCATGATGCATGTTGCTGGTCGCATCCCACAAAAGTACAAATTTAAACTAACACCAGTGTTGGTCTCACCACATCCTCACCAGTATATTGAGTATTAATAGGAAATCTTTCACGCCTTTGGCTAAACTAACGAAAAACAGAAGAGAAAAATCCCTGATAAGCTCCATCAGGAACAAAAAAGGAGAAGTTACAACTGATGCCGTGGAGATTCAAGATATAATTTATGAATATTACAAAAAC